AGAGAATACAGCAATCATTGCAGAGTCAGGAAGTCTAGTGGTAAACAACCTATGATTTACAGTATTTGTAAAATTTTTTCAAAAACTGCCTAAAATTGCACCATTTTCCTTTTCTTTCATTTTTTAACTGCTACATAAACAGTATGACAAGACGATTCCACGGTGCTTTGTCATTATACATACTCAGAATGCTTAAGCTGCTGGCTTAATGTAGCCCTTTTGCAGAACACAATTTCCTAGAACAATTTATTTTGGCCTCCCCGTTGGCAATGCCATGTAGCTGAGGATACTGGAATCGATATTGCTACATTTAAATCATGAGTATCTTAATTTGAATGTGCTTTATAACCACTTTGATCAAATCTATGGTTTACATAAATTTAAAGAAACTCTGATGGAAACCTTTGTCTTCCATTTTCCAAGTTTCTAAGTGTGACCAGAGTGTCCTAGTGTCTGAAAATTGGATATACATTCAGCAAAAGCTCTTAGCATTTAGTTCATTGTACACTTAAAGCATATATATATATGCATTCCACGGGTTCCCTCCATCTCAGCTCTCCTCCCACATGGTGAGCTTCCAATGATGCAAAATTAGTAGATTCCTAATTGCTTTTGATATTTTTCCTGTCCTCATCACCCAATCTAGGGGCTGTGGGAACTATGCTGAGAACAGGAGCGGCTGTACCGTCTCCTTTACTGTTAGGTTTCCAGGGGCTTGAAGCACTCGCGGCTCTTCTAGCACATTCTAGTGTGTATTCTAGTATATATATTTGYACATGTATATATGTATACACAGACACACACATATACATATACATGTAGGGCTGGGCATGTAGCTCAGTGGTAAAGCACTTGTCTGGCACATATGAGACTCCAGGTTTGATCCTAGCACTGAAAAAAAATAAGTAAGTAAATAAATGAATGCACACTCTCACTTGAATTTTCTTAGACTGCTCCAAATAATTTCTTAGTAAAATCATCGTCACTTCTGTGTATAATCTTATGAATGTAGTCTTTATAGAACTCTTTATCGACTTGTGGTCTTGCAGTTTTAATTTTGAAGCTTTTCCAAAAGAGCATTAGGTTCTTGCATTATTTTTAAACTTAATAGAGCCTACAATTTTTAAATTGATTTCAGTTTYATAGATTAGGCATTCAACTCACCAGAAAAGTATAAAATATCTTATTCTTCCTTATCAGATCRAACCTCATAACCTAAAGGAATCTTTCAAGCCCCAGTTTTCTGAAGATAACCCATTTGCTTYTCACACTCTCAGTCTATTTATTTATTCATTTGTGGATTGTTTGCAGAGCTGGGGACTGGACCCAGAGCCCTGCACAAGCTCGACAGGCAGCAAGTGATCTGCCACTGAGCTACAGCCCGGGCCCCAAACCCACATATTTAAATTAAAATATTACTCTTAAACATGTCTCATTTCTGGTAAGTTCCTAAGCCATAGCAAGCTGTTAAATATACTCTGGGGCAAAAACATACCACTTTTGATACTCCCAGACATTCTAGCCTGACCAGATTCCGCCTGTCGGACAGCAGCTGCAGCCTGTCACTGACCCTTCCTCTCTGCTGTCCTCCTGGCAGGACTTCGCCCCTTCCACAGGCCAGCCTGTCCTTCCTGTGCCGCGGGTTCCCTCGTCTCAGCTCTGCCGGCGTCCCTCTCCTCCCGCATTGTGAGCTTCATTGTGAGCTTCCAATGATGCAAAATTATGTAGATTCTATTCCTAGTTGCTTTTGATTTTTTTCCTGTCCTCGTCGCCCAATCTAGGAGCTGTGGGAACCATGCTGGAACAGGAGCGGCTGTACCGTCTCCTTTACTGTTAGGTTTSCAGGGGCTTGAAGCACTCGMGGCTCTTCTAGCACATTCTAGTGAGTTTCCACGGGATGCTCCACTCCCTGCGTCATGAGTGAATGACTGCATCAGCATTTAAAGATTCCCGGTGCGTACTCGTATCTTTTATCCAGTCATTCTGAAGAACAAGGGCTATTTTATCACCTCCTGGCCCCTGTGGCCCTATGGTCATGGCCACTGTGGGCTAAAGATGAAACCACACTTAGAAGCACTGAAGATCAGGGTCTCCTGGGTCTCSTATCTCACTCTAAAAAATAAAGATCATAACGTGGACAGTTGTGGGAGGGATCATTGGGGCCAGTTAATCACATCCAATTTTTTTTATTATTATTAAAAACAAACAGACCAAAAGTATAAAGTCACATTGTCACACCTGTAGTAAGAGTTCTAATGTCAATATACGTGATGGAAAATCAGAATAAAAACTTTTCCTGAAAGTTCTTTCTATGCATCGCCCCCAAAATATAGCATACATGGTTTTGTACACACCGCATCATGATTTAGTAAACATAACAGCACAATTTCCACCAGGGTTTGGTGGAAACAGAGCTGTTTCTTCCCTCAGGCATTTTGTAAAGTAGTTGCACTTTTAGAGATCACGGACCAGGAAAAGCTCCTTCTTGTTTTTGAGTTCTTCCATTTTCCTAGTAAGTGCAAAYAGTTCAAAATGAGCTTTTTCTGGAACACCGCTGACTGGGTTGTGCCAATGAGCTCATTCAACAAAGAAGAACGCAGGCAAGATGGTGGTGACAAAGGCCTGGCTCACAATCAGCCSTTGAATGTCAAGTCTTGATGAACACTTTGAAAATTGGGCCCCCAATTTCCCCAAGTAATGTATTAATTTTCTCTAGTATATGTGTTAGCCTTGTTCCCTTATATAGGAATTGTTTCACCGAGAAGTAATTTTTTGCAGAAGTATTTCTATAAAATGAGAATAAAATCTATATTCTGGAAACATAGTTTCCTTATATCTAGCTACAAGTTATTTAAGGTAGTCTGTGTTTTAAAATCATAAAAAATTCACTTGATTTAGTGAATGTGAAAACACTACAAAAATGTAGGTGCCCRTTTTGCCACTTCTGTTCCGCAAAATCAATTCTAGTCTTAAAAAGAAATAGTCTATGTAATTAACATGTGACCCACAATTTCACTCCTGGGCATTTGGCCCAGGAAAACGAAAACTTATATTCACACAAAAAYGGCTRCATCGAYGTTTATAGCAGTTTTATTTGTAACAAATTCTGGAAAGTATCCTGAAGTCCCAATACCAGRGGACTGGTTAAAGGAGCTGTTACACCCGTCCTGTGGACTATTACTCAACARAAAGGGAACAAACTATGGACACACACAAGTGGAATGTCCAGAGAACAAGGCCAACCAAAAAAAGCCAGTCCCAAAGGGTTACCTGCCATCGTCCCATTTATACAACATTCTTAAAAGGGCAAAATTATAGAAATGAGAAMATTCGGCGGTTGATAGGTTTATCAGCTTTTCATCACTGTAACCAAAACACCTGACAAGAACAACTCAAAGTAAGAAACGTTTATTTGGGGCTCACAGTTCCAGAGGCTCAGTCTGTGGTCCACCCACTCAGCAGCTCTGGGCCTGAGTGGGGCAGAACATCATGGCGGAAGGGAGCAGCAGAGGAGGCTGCTCAGCTCAGGGGAGTCAGGAGCAGAGAGAGTGAGGAAGAAGGGGTAGGACACCACCCCCAAGGGTACACTCCCAGGGACCCCCTCCCTCCAGCCAAGCCCCACTTGCCTACAGTTACTACCCTGGAGTCCATTCACATTATGGATCCATCAAATGGATTAATCCATGCCGCAGTCCAGCTGCAGCAAAATAACCGGGGGGTGAAGAAAAACTTGTGTACAGCAGGAGTGGGAGCCGTTTATTGTAGGACAACAGAGGTATTTATACATTCCACACAGCTTATCTAATTAATATAAACTAGATACAGCAGTCAACCAATAAGGAATCTCCACATTTAATGGCTCGCTGGCGCCACTCACAAACCACTCCCCCTGGCAAAATGCCAGGTGCCATCCTGACTTGTTCACAGACTCTAACAAATCCACCCAAGTGGCTGCAGCTCTCATAGTCATTTCCCCTCTGGACACTCCTGCACTGTCTAACACAAGCTTTGCAGGGGACACCTCACATCCACACCACAGCATGAGGGTCAAAGAGCAGGTGGGATGGGAGAGGAGCAGGTGTGGCCGCACACGGGTAATATGAGGGATCCCCGTGGTGGGGAAAACAGTTCCTGTCCTGCCTGTAAGGACATCAACATCCAGGCTGTGATATTCTACTGTATGTTGCAAGATATGGGGAAACCTGGGTAGGGGTTCAAGGACTTCTCTGCATTATACTGTACAGCTGCCTGTGAATCTAGAATCTTCTCAAAATCTACAAATTCAATAAAAATGAAAGAGGAAACATTCTAGCCTACTAMAGGTATTTGGCCTCACTGAGGTCGGGGTTAAGAATTCATTACKGCCCCTGGAGTCTGTGAAAACTGTGGAATCAGGTGGAGCCCAAACTGGGCCACACCSAGCAGTTTCTGCAGGGTCCTGGGGCCCTCCCAGGTCCCTGAAGGGACTACCTCTGGCCACAGGGCAGGGGGGCCTCCTTTGGAGAGCTACCCCTCCATTTTTGCCATAGGTGCTACAGAGGTCATGACAAGGAATTCGCCAATGGCAAAGTAACCCCAAATGTGTCCACTCCACGGAGACCCGGAYGCCAATCTTTTTTACGTTTTAAATCGAACGTTCCAACACAGCCAATGCTCCACCCCGTGTGGCAATTTTTTCTTTTATCTGAATTGCACTAATAGAGCTGTTCAGGAAGGAAATGTTCCATCCCACAGGGGCTAATATAGGGAATTAAAATACACATATGATACCTTTCAAGACTTTTATGTCCAATAACTATAATAGAGTCATATTAGAAAGTGATCTTAAACACCTCTAATGCTATCTGACAGAATTACTGAGATAAAGGGATTTTTTTGGACCCTCTTTTTCAGGTCTAAATATTCATTCAATCCAATAAAGACATTTTAGAAAAACAGTCACCATATAAAATTTATTTCATTTTTTCCTTCACTTTGTTTCAAACAGAAATTATTTCAGCAACATTTTTATCAAAAGCATTTTCAATAAAATTGATGATGAAGAAGAGTTTCCCCTTCCCCTACATGGACACCCAGGAGCTCAACTGGAAAAATCCTGTCGTCTATAAACAGAAACATGCAAAACATATTTAAATCCCCTGAGCGCTTGATTTTTCCAATTCTTTTCCATTTAGACTGAAACGGATGTCAGGAAATTTCAAAGATCGATGGCTGAATCTAAAAGGAAAAAAAAAAAACCATTTAGTTGTCACCATCACTGCCATTGTCAGTCCCCAGTACCTTATACTTCCTGATCACACTGAACTTCACCAGGCTGCTTCTGCCTGGGAGAAGACAAATCACCAATCAATTATGTACACTAATTAAAAATGCTACCTTAGGAGGTATTTTAATAACTTAGTAATGGGGTGAAGTGTTTCTTCTAATTGCTTACTTTAAAACATTTTTGGTAACAAAAACACTAGCCACAAAAACACTGAACACTTACAAACATTTCATACTAAGTCTACATGGACTATCCAGGGGCCCCCAATGGTGGTGGTACAATTCTGCAACTGGTTGAGGTCACATGGAAAATAGAATTATATGCTAATTTGTCCCTATATTAAGTTATCATAAAGGTTAGACGAAACACAGTAAAGTGAATTCTGGAAAAATAATTAACTAAATAGGTTGGTATGTACCGTATCAAAGTAAATTGTTTATCTTAATAGATACAAATATAAGAAAGATTTTTAAAGGCAGGGGTATTTTGTCATTTTCAAAAACAAGTGTTTTAACTAACCCCAGGCAATGACTTGCATAATTTAAAATTTTTTATATAAATAGTTGTTCCCTAAAGAAGCAYAGGAGCAGGGTAATTTTTTTTCAAGGGGGAAAAAATAAAGAAAAAGAGAGAAGGGCATAGTATCCAGAAGAGAATAATTTTCCCAGAAAAAAACTTCACTTTACCTACACATTTCTTAACTCACATAAACAGTKCTCTGTGTGCTGTAAAATGAGCACACATGTTCAAACTAAATGGTGGGGTAAGAAAGTATTGATTTTAATGCATTTTTAATTTTACTCCACACTAAACAACAACATAGGTGTTTTCTTGGCATAGATCTGCCTGAAGAAAATATGCTTTATTCAAAAATCTATTGAGAAAGAAAAATCTAAATTATTTTTTCTGGAAGACATAAGTCATTCTATGGATTCTGCGTTGATTTAAAAAAAACCATAAGACCAAATCAATCGTTGAAGAATTGGGCCTACTAGTTTCATATACGATGACGGCACATTCCTCATATTTCTGGATTTTAAAACTACTTTTGTAGAAAAAGAGAAAGAACATGGGAGGCAGGTAACGATGGCCCCATGAAATCTTGCAGCATGTGGAATCCCCAGTGCAGGATTTCGTGAAGCACCCAGTTCATTTAAGAACACAACAAAGACAGTGGCAGAGGTCATCTGTGTCATACCCCTAGGCAAATTCCTGGGGGAAAAAACACAATTATTTTATACTCTCAAGTCTATCCTTTCTGCCATCAAAAGATGTGTTTATAATTTCCACATAAGAAATATGCCATGCCGTAGGAGAGCTTGCAKTCATACAGCCATCTGAAGTTCCTTTAAATCATAACTCATTTTTAATTTCTGAAGGGATTTTGCCTATTGATTTTAATGATTTTATGACTACTAGTTACCATAGCATGAGTTAGGTGCTCATGAAATATCAGTTTGACATCTTGTTCAAATACTTACTTTTCTCCCTGCATTCCCAGCCCTGTCTACCCTATTTTTCCACCTACCAAGTTAGATATGGAGATATTCAGATATAAAATCTTYAAACACCTGGACACATAAACATGCAGGTATATACCTCTTACTATTATTTTGTTGGAAGGATTTTATGTATTGAGATCTTAACACACTCCTCCCCCTCCCCCAAAAAAGAGCAAAAGTCTAACAAAAATGAAAACCTGCAATGATGCCTAAAAAAATCAGTTCTTAAGTAAATTAATCTTCATTCCCAGGGAATGCAATCTGATGTCCAGAGACTGAAAGTCGGTCTACCATAAAATATGGCACATTAAATACTACAATGACCCACTTGAAATGTCTTCATGCAATTATAATGTCCTCTACAAACAACTGTGGATACAGTTATATTTTAATATTCAGTACCAGAGGTTTCCATGCAAAATATATTGAAATTGTAAAGATACTGAAGTCGGTTTAAGATAGCATCAAACAAATCAGTAGCTATTCCATGGCAAAAATGAAGGTTGAAAATCAGACTTGAAAAGAATTATTAAAATGAGGAAGAAATATTGAGTTATCACAAGCAACACTACCATTCCTGCTTATAAAATTCAGGATTTCAACCAGCTAGCTGGGAAGAATGAAAAGCTTCTTCTAACCAGCTAAAAAGAAAGTCTTTACCAAGCCCCTTGAAAAAGCTCATTTTCACATTACTCAGGCTTCATTATGCTAAATCAATATTCGTTTAGTCACTGGGGTTATTGACATATTTTAAAATAAAAGTATACCCTTCAGCTACTGCACTCATTACAGGTAATTTGTCTTGTCAGAGAGCAGGGAATATTATCCTAGTCTTTCAGGGGCTGACAGCCCATGGAAATACCTCCCCATGGTTACAACTGTAAATAATTTTAAGGTAAAATATTGAAAAATCAATGACTGTTTCCTGCAATCTGTCACAAACAAATCAATCATAATCTGCACTGCCAGAGAGTATGATTTGAAGGAGATGGGAGCAGATGTAATTCTTGGCTGGAATCTCTCATTTCAAAATCACTTCACATAATGGTGTCATCATTTAAACACTTAACAGTCGCTGCGACTGCCACTGGAACATCCAGTCGGACAAAACCACGAGGAGGAGGAGGAGAAAATGCCATCACTATTATGTTAACAAACATTTAATTTAAAGGGTTGCTGCATTAGTAAATTTCCGCTGAAAACGGTTTTACCTGCCTCTTTTGYGGTTTGAAATTAATCAAGGCTGCTTTTCTGTGTTCTGATGCCTAGAAAATTAGCCCAGGACTCAAAGTATACTCACAGGCCTTTTATTTTAAAAGCCCATTACAGAGAATAAAATTTGGAATGGCAAATAAGACATTTCCATTTCAGAATATCCATAATTCTATGTTCAAAACAATGATTAAAAAACAGTGTCATTGATGTCAAGATGATACTTTGATGACTTAGGAGCAGCTGTAAAGGAATACAGTAAGAGCTGTTCAATCTAAACACACCCCTGCGCTCCATAGACAAGCTACACCACAGAGTGCGATAACCCAGCATCCAAGTGCAAAAGTTACTCAAGGTCATAATATTGAATAGTTTTACAAATGTAAACTGCTTTTCTAATAATCGCTTTGATATTCCCATTTTTTTCTTACACTATATTTTATGGTCTCCTCAGCTGCTTATAACCCTCTGTATAGGCATGAATAAAAGAATCTGAAAATTGGTATATTTTGCCTTTCTGTTGGGTTAACCCCAAACACTATTTGACATGAAGATTAGTCTCTTTTCTGAAGGTTTGTGTTTTTAAATATACGCTAGTTCGTTTAGTGGGTGAAACCAATTTTAGCTATCACATTTCTTACCAATTGCCTAATTATACAATTAGACACATGAAGTCCTTTATTGTTTATTAATATTCCTCCCTAGATAGAGTTCAGGGGGCAGACATCTTTGATGACTAGAAAAGTAGTTTTTCTTAACAAGGAAAACAAATAGATACAAATACCATTCCACAACAGAAGCCTGTAGAAAGCCGAAGTAATTGGTCTTTTACAAACACCAATTTCTAATTTAACCTGCATCATCAATGTGCAGATTGGCATCAGGAAGTGGAGTCTTTTCTGATAGATCCAAATCGAACCCAATTTTTGTTCTTCAAGAATCTTAGGTGTATTTCTCCAAGGCCAACTCCAGGTTTTTGAAAACGAAAAAGCACGTGGGTAAAGCACCAAAGGCATCCCCCAGAACCAAGCAAGAGTCCTCCTTCCCTGGGAATCCCGCAACAGCTGCAGGCTCGGGAGCCAAGCAATCTCGCCAGTGGGAAAGGAAAGCCTCACCAGGCCTAGGATTCTAGGAAGAGCAGAGACCCACAGCTCCAAACCAGGACAGGCAGCCATGTGCTGAGCTGCTGGTGCACGCACTGCAATGCCCCAGGCGGGCCCAACTCACTTCTCGCCAGGGCTCTGGAACCAGCTGCCAACCACCAAGTCCTCCCCTCTGAGCCTGGCTACGGTTGGCAGCAGATCACCCTGCRGGGAACACATCCCCCAGTGAACCAACAAAGGACGCGAGGTAAACGGGACAGTGGGACAAGGCTGCAGGCGTGGGTGTCAACCACAAACTGAAATGTTAGTCACCTACTAGCACCGACCAGGACACCATCACAGAGCTCAGTCTCAGAAAGAAGCTATTTTAAGGGTGCTGAGTCTGCYGAAAGGAGATTTCTCCGTGTTCCCAACGCAGCCCTGACATACCCTAGGAGAAGCAGGCTCAAAAACTTAGCAGAGGAAAATAAGTCTGCTTGCATATCCCAAATTCAAAGAAAAGGCTGTCTAGTGGATAAAATTCTTATATATATAAGGATGGTTCAGGATTACAAAGAAAAGTCTTCTTTTAAAAGAGAGAATATTACCTTCCTGTCTGCAGACTCTCCTCTTCCTACAGCCAGGACACTAGATCCATTAGGAACTGTGGACTCCTGGAAAGAAGAACAGAAAGGTTAGCCCCCTCTCTCCTTCCTCTTCCTTCCTTCGTGGGATCACAATTTAATTACCAATTCTTCAATTGATTTTATTCCTGAATGATACATTTCTCAAAAAGCATACTCGTTAGCTATTTCCACCAGAGAACATTTAGTATGACCTTATCCATTAATCAACCCTAGCCCAAGACTGGAGGCCGYTTCCTTCTGGTTTCTACAGTGGCAGACCTTGCCCATGTCTATTTTATTACAAAAGGAACAGAGTTTAAATACATTTGAATTACACCTTCAGTGCATGTGAAATATGAGTTTTCATAATAAATTTGGCAGATGACAGATGTGAAATTCAACAAATCTGCATATATGTTTAGATTTTTTCCCCATATTTATCCTTAGAAGGAAAAAGAAACAACCATGTAGATCCTTTCATCTCTTAAATTCAACAACTCTGTACATGCTTTAAAACAAAACAAAAAAGAAGCTTAAAGGTAAACAAAGAGGAATCAGACTGCCCTCCCCCTCCCCGCTGAGCATTTTCTTGATATTTGTGTCATGTTTTCTCACTTGCTGGAATGCCTCAGCTCTCGGCCATACACGAAACTCCCTTCCATAAGTCTCAATCAGTAACAGGGGAAGTCAAGTCTATTATTTATAATCAATTATTAGTTCACATTACAGTAAAAATCACTTTAATGCCTTAAAAAGTATCACAGAGAAGCATTTTTTCCTATTGAAATATATGCTAACTATACTGCCTTCTGTAAAACTAGCTTTTTATTTTTGTCATATATTAATTTTTTTATTCAACAAAATATTCTGTTAATAAGTCCTATTCCTTGCTCTGCCCACTAGACAACACAAATATTCTGCAAAATAATTCTTTCTCATGCACCTATATTCAGCAGCCAAATTTTAATGAGAAATGGCAAGTTCTACCTACACCTGTATACTATTCGCCACTAAGAGTTTGGTACTCATGACCAGATCACAAAATTTACCATTAAAAGAACTAGGTAATTAAAATAATGCCAAAATGTGATTTGGTACAAGTAGAGTCTTTTTAAAAATATTAATTGTATTTCTATAAAATATCTTAGTCTTCATATTTATGAAAGGTAATGAGTTACTTTATAAATTTTGCTACCCAGTAGTATCATTCAAATGAATTATTCAATGTAATTCCAGGAAACATGACAAATAAAAGTAAATAAATTATCCAGTGTCATTCTACGAATCCAAAAATTTTCTATTTACTACACTCTCGGTGAATGCAATAATGGAATTTTAATATTGAAAGGCCTCAAATGGAATTCTCTACCTTCTGTACTTAGCCTCTGTCACCAGTGTCAATTCTTTGGTAAAGCCAACCCTCATGCTATTTTGAGTCACTCCACACACAAGCATCCCCACGGTGTGTGTGTGCAGACACTCACCTGCAGATGAGCCTTGGGACATGCAAGAATAAATTTCAGCCAACATTTGGAGGAACCCCACAGTTTGAAAGTGAACTTAGCTGAAAACATGGAAGCATCATACTTATCACCTGTATAGAAAATGGAAATGATTCTGTTTAAGGAAACACAGAAGACTAGCAATACTTCTGGGATATTAGATATGAATATCTAATCTAATTTTCTCCAAGGTATCACTCCATATTATGGTGAATAAACAAATAAAAGCTGTATCAAGGTGTGGAATATCATTAGCTTGAGAAAAGGCTAGAAAAATGGATTACATAAATCACAACTGCRGGAGAAAATTATATTCCCTTCTCCTGAACAAATGTCAAGTTCATCCTCACTAATAAAGACTTAAACTCAAACTACATTAGAATATACTGGTTTTCAATTTTGAAGCATTTAAGTTAATTTGCCAAGCTAAATTGGTGCTTAGGTATAATACAGCTATAAAAACATTGCAGATTTATGCAGAAATAAGTTATCAGTATCACACTTCAGAGTAGTGCCGAGAAAGCAATCCAAACTCATTACTAAAAAGGAAAATAGAATTTCTACACATTCTTAAAGCTGTGCCAGCTGTTATCCTATTTAGAAAAATTATTCTCCACCAAACAGCTACCAAATATGCCAAAAAGATGTTAAAAATACAGACATCAACACATAACCTAGATAATGAGGAGAAAAAAAAAAAAAACAAAGATACTGAGATACTACCACTCAAAAACAGGCTGGGCTAGTTTAGAATAAAAACATGGTTTCGAAGTATAATATTTATAATCTATTTAAAAGAACATATTTAATCCATTCAGGATTATAGGATTTCATTTATTTCCATGTCATCAACTAAAGAACATTTTTAATTTTTCCTAAGATTTCTAGAATATAAATATATTAATAATTACTTGATGCTATCAATCAAAACTGATGATATGCAATTAGTTCATGTTCCTATTTCATCTCTTCCAACACAATAAATTTTTAAATAACACATGGATAACAGCATGAGGATGGAGATGCAGCTGCCAAAGAAAAAAAATTTGATGGGGGGCTGAGGGATAAATAAAGCAATTATCTCTAAATTAACGCTCTTGTTTTAGTTTGAGCAAACAAATCTAAATAAGTMTCCCTTTGATTTTAGTTTACCATGTAATTCTAACCAGCTAATTATCCTTGGAGTCAAGAATGAGCTGGGACTCTACACCTGGCTTTTCCGATCATGATCATATGCCTGTGGTCTCCTCTACTTTCATTTCCTCTTTCTACAATGAGTTTTAATATTAAAGGGAAAACACACACACCTCTCTCACACACGCTGATGGACAGCCAGCTTCCAGGAAAGAGTGAGCTAYAAAGAGAGGGGGAAATCTTAATGTAATCCTTATGTTAAGGGGTATTAGGTGCTGGGTAAGCCAAAGGTAATATAATCAGCAGCATCCGCCTTGCCATTGTTTTTGCAGTCAGAGATTTAGAGTGAAGGACAGTAATGTTATTTTAGTGGTCACCCAGGTTATGATTCAGATCCTTAAACTAATGCATCGTCTCCACTTGCTCATCAATTCAAATTTACAGAACAATATTTTGGAAAAGATAAGTTCTCCTCTATTTCTAGAACTAAAAACAAGGCATTCCACGAGTGTTGTAGCTAGGCACTTGATAATATGGAAAAGAAACTGTTTTCCACCATTGAGACACCATGGGAGACTCTTTCCTCTCCAAAAATTTCCAATGGCATACATTTCTCATGTATGCACCTTTTTGTCATATTCCTGTTTCTGAACATTAAGCATGGCTTCCTCAAAAGGTGTTTTCTAAACACCAATGTTTGTTTAATCATATACTGCAGTCTTATGTTTTTAATTTTTTTTCAAAATCAGAAACCATTTATTCTACAAAGGTAGAGTACAAAGAAAGCAAGCTGAGAAGATGTATTGCCAAAAAGCCACAAGTAGTATTACTACGTGCCAGAACACTTAACATTAAACTACCATTTCTCTCTAAAACTTCTGTTGCCAAGCGGCTCACAAAATCTGCAAACAGAAAGAGAGGTTTCAAGTGCAATTAAATTCTCCAAAAGCAAAACTGTACAAAAAAAATATGCTGCCCTTCTTATGTCTCCATTTATAGACAACATTTTCTCAGGATCTTAATTAAGATAACGATGCACACCTGTGTCAACATTCTCTGGCAAGACAGCCTTATCAATCATAATCCTTTAAGTACACTCTAAAACAGCCAAGCGATATGACAGAAGCAATCTGTTGCCTTTCCTGGAGTTGGTGTTGTGTCTCTCCCACAAGAATGATGAGATCTTTAAAATACAGCAGCCCTACTTTTATGAGTCTTTAAAGTTTTAACAGTAAACAGCTATTACACTAAGCAAACAGGAGTAACCTCTTTTGCACTTGATTGAAACAATGACAACTATACAGTCAAAAACTCAAAGAGCAAGCTTCATGGCCATGTCTTGACAATACAATTAAGGATTCATGTTTGAAAGCTTTACCTTTTAAGAGTTATGCATAACTGTATCCAAGCAGACAGGGCAAACCAATAAACCCTTAGTAAGTTTAAATATGAAGTTTAAGAGCCCCATGTTAAAAACAATCAGAGCAAACCTATCCCTAGTGTAAGTTAACATATTCAGAAAGATACAAATGCAGTGGTAAGTAAAAAGAAAAGCCAAGAAAAAAATTTGTGGGTAATCTGAGATGAGAGTTGGGTTGGTTGATCTCACCTCTGCTGGTGGAGAAAAGAGATTCAGTGACAAGAGACCTGTGAAACTACTGCTAACAAGTAAACTGATTCTCAAATGGAAAAGCTGATGAATAGAAAGGGAAAGAATGGGGAACAGAGCCTCACCACCAAGATACAAAGTTAAAACTCGTTGTTTACCAGAGAAAACGTGAAAGCGACCATCTAAAAAAAAAAGGGAGAACATCGGCCTGATGCAATCTGAATTCCGCCTGCMGACTAATCATCAGTCCTTCCCTTTCACATATTAGCACAATTCTATCTCAGAAGCCGGGCGGCCGTGGCCAGCAGAGCAGCAGACCCATCAATGTGCAAATAAAGCAGAAAATAGAGACATCCTTAAGAAATGAGTCTTAAATTTGACGTAGAGCGGAGGTGACAACCACGGCAACAGAACCATAAATTCTAAATGCTTCAATATCTTGCAGGATTCTTTCCAGTCCTCCCTGACACAAAAAAAAGAAGAGACCAAAAGCGGGGTGGGGGGAGCAGGGTGGTGGTGGGGGGACGGGAGAGAAACAGCCGTGGGTCCAGCGTGGTGGGACTATGTAATGAGGATGTCTGCGTGACAGACTCGGATTCTCGGTGGCACAAACCTCCACGGCTCCATTTCAGAAACCCATCGTACTGGACCAGAGCCCAGAGAGTGATGGAGGGGACACGCGTGGACGCAGGGGACTCGCTCACGCGCGTCCTCCCGCGAACGGTGACACGGGGAGGGGCGCATCGGAGGTTCTCGCGGCCCACGCGCGGGGCCCCGCCGCGTCCTCCCGGTCCACCAGGGGACGCGGCCGTGGCTCGGAGGCGGAAGCCGGCGGGGCGGCACTGGGACCCGGCTCGGAGGGGGCTCACCTCTGCTCCGCGGAGCGGGCTCGCGGGACGCGGACGCTCCCTCGTGGCAGGCGCGAGTCCCCGGCGGGCGGCGCACGCGGGCTGCCACCGACCGTTAGCGCGAAGGGCTGCAGCGGCGGCGGCGGGCGGAGCCGGGGGCGGGCGCGGAGGAGCCGCTCGGCCGCGGGAGGCGGGAGCCCAGGCAGCGGGGCGGGGACGCTCCGGCTGCTCCCTGCCGCCACCCAGACCGCCCCGAGCCCGGGAGGGTGAGCCGAGAGGCCGCCACTGGCCTGCTCCACGCTTCCCGGGTTCGGGCTGTGCTGGCCGCTGCGCCTCGCTCCAGTGTCGGCGGGCTCGCCACCCCCTCCGCCCCGAACCCTGTCCCGGCTGCACGCTGCCGTCGGCTTCTCGTCTCCATGACAATAGTGCCACCGAAGCCCCGCCCCGGCCCCGCCCCTTCGGTGCCGGGACTCGGAGGGAAGCGAGTCTGCGTCATTACGGGGCGGAGCCAATGGAAGACGGCGACCAATCAGAGGCGAAGGCCGTGTAACGGGAAGGGCGGGGCTGACCGAGAGGCTCTCGGGTACTGTAGTCCGGAGCGCTCTGTCGGCCTGAGGGGCGGAACCTCGATGGGGAGCAGACGGAGGGGAGGAGTCAGCGCGCGTGCGTGAAGGCGCGCCGCCGGGCGGGTGCCAGTGTGGGGAGTTGGGGTTAGTGTTTGCTCTGGCTGAAGCTCAGGATATAAAGTGTGTCTTGCGCGTCGAAGTCATTGTAAGAAACTTTGTATATGTTGTGCTTCGGTGGCGTGTGGCTCCGTTATAAAAGCTCACGAAGTCTCTGATACACAGAACTCGACCGCAGTGCCCGACACTGGGCAGGCCCCTGTCTGGTTCACCAGCGCCCCTGTCTGTCCCAGAGTTCGAGTGCGTCTGTGACTGGAGGCGGCGGGAGGCGGAGAGATTGGGAGAGGATCTGTTTTGTATTCTAACTGAGTGGCCGTGGTGGGCAAGGGCTCTGCCTGTGACTCAGTTGTGTTTGTCTTGCCAGCGCCTCGCTGAACAAACAGTGGTTGGGTTGGGCACTGCTCTGCCTAGTGTTTGCAGTGGAGCTTGGGAGGGTGCKAGAGTGCATGTGAAAGGCAAGGCAACTTAGTTGAACAAAAGGGAAGGGGACCCGCACCCTCCGCCACTACCGAGCTAGCAGGGCGAGCTGCCCAGGGAAAACCGACAGAAGGACGCTGCGCCACAGGGGGGTGGAAGGGGAGGTGGGGGGGGCGAGGAGGTCTGGGGACCTACTCCAGTGTAGCACCTTCTCCTTTTGGTAGTTCTTGCCCACTACCTCTCCTCTAGAAAAGGCTACCTCGGCAGTCCCAGGACCCCAGTGTCGCCTCCCTCGCTGTCCCGCCGGGCGGTTAGTGGAAAGAAGGCCGAGCCGAGGCCTGGCTTTCGCCCACCTGCTGCTGCTGCCGCTGCTGCTTCTGCTGCTGCCAGCGCAGAGGGGCAGTCATCCCGGACTCCCTGTGCCCAGGGCGCCGGCATCCATTGGCTGTCTCGGGGACCTTAATCCCGGATCTCCAACTCGCTCCAGGGACCCCTGGCTTGAGGGAGAAGCCAGTGGGGAGTGGGTGGCGAACCACCTCGTAGCCCAGCCTCCCGGAGAACAAGAAATCCGCTCACAGCGAGGAGAGGAGAGCACCGAGCGTTCGCCCGAGCAGCCTGCGGCTCCGTTCCCTTTGTGCTTTCCAGCGGCCGGACCCGTTAACGGGGCCCGCCGAGCGTCGAGACTGCCGCTCCGCCCCGAGTTAGCCAGGGAGGAAAGTTGAGGAGATCGGCGCGCTCGGGATGTGATTGTCATCCTGGGGCCGGCGCTCGAGAGTCTGGGAGAAAGAGCGAGAGGGAGAGACCGGGGAGGGGAGAAGGGGGAGGCAAGAGAAAGGGGGGAGAGGGGGTTGGCGGWGGAGAGGCGGGCGCTAGGGAGGGGCGAGGGGAACGCCAGCGAGCGGGAGAGGGAGCCAGGGAGGAAGAGGGAGAGGGCGAGGCGCGCCTGGCGGCCGGGTTGGCTGTGGCCGCCCAGAGGCTCCTGCCAGTCCTCCCACCGACTACACCCCAGGAAGGAGGAGCTTCGGGCGCGCACAAGGCGTCAGAATCCTCAATTTCCAACTTAGCATCTTGGCAGGACCTTTGCGAAGCCAAAAGCAGAGCCCCCCGGTGCAAAGAGCGAGGGGGGAAAAAGAGAAAGCAGCAAGGGCGGGGAGGGGGAAAAAAGCCTAGCCGGGGCGAGCGAGGCGCACAGAGGAGCGGGCGCGGCGGTCGCAGCCGGAGGCGCGCGGGAAGCCAACAAGGAGGCGCCGCGGGCMGGAGCCCCGGAGCCCGGGCTCGAGGAGCAGCGGCCCAGGGCAGCCAGAGGCCAGGTGCCCGCCCGCTCGCCCTCGCAGGGCGCCGCCCGGCTCGTTGGCGGCCGCGGCGCGGCGCGCCCCATGCCCGTGTGTGGCCATGTCCTACCCGCAGGGCTACTTGTACCAGCCGTCCGCCTCGCTGGCGCTCTACTCGTGCCCCGCATACAGCACCAGCGTCATTTCGGGGCCCCGTACGGATGAGCTCGGCCGCTCGTCTTCGGGTTCTGCGTTCTCTCCCTACGCTGGCTCCACTGCCTTCACGGCGCCCTCGCCGGGCTACAACTCGCACCTCCAATACGGCGCCGATCCCGCGGCTGCAGCCGCCGCCGCCTTCTCCTCGTACGTGGTGAGTGAGCGGGATCCGCCGCGGGCGAGGGCAGCGGGGCCCGGCTAAAACGGGCTAGGGCTGCTGGGGACACGGGCCTAGGCACCGCTGCCGACCTCCCCCGCCAGGCTTCGCGGTCCCTACAAACTTGGGCGATTGTCTCGCTGGCCTTCGTCCGGGCCTTGGGCTCAGGAGTTGTTCGGAGAAAAGCCGCGWCTAGCTAGGATCCTTGAGGTGGAGGGAAGGGTTTTGAGGGGAAAGGTCGTTGCAATTAAAGCCGGATTTGGTTCAAACGGAAACTCCGGGCCGCCCTGCAAATTTTATTTTTTTGGTTTTGCCATTTTGGAAAAGTTCAAAAGAAATAGATCCGAAATCAGAACAGAAGCGTGCTAAATCTATGCAAATGTGTTTGGCCTCGCCTTTAATTAATCCTCCAAAATGTTGCAAATCCGTAATCCTATCTTCACAATCCGATTTGGAGGTATTAAATTTCTGAAAAGTCGACCGAGCTGCGGTGCATCCGGGATTTTTCGGCCGGGTGCACTTTCTGGAAAAGCGCAGTGGCTTCGATTCGGGTTAGCATTTCTGGAGGGTGGGAGTGCTAGGCAAGGCTCAGCCTTTCCTTTGCGTTTCTTTGTGGATTAAAAGAGAAAGAAAGCAAGCCTTGGCTTCTCTTGTTCTACCCCCGTGCGCCCAACGTGAGGTCGCCCCAGAGCGGAGCAGGGAGTCCCTGCTCCTGCCCAGGCCTCTATCTGGATGGTGGGCCGGGCGCGGAGGCCAGATCTGCGCACAGGGCACGGTCGTTCCCCGGCAGACCGGGTGGCACCGAGGTCGGGACAGCTTCAGGGGTCCCCGAAGGACCAGATTCAGGAATTGGGGCCTCGGCTGTCTTCTGAGGAGGGGGGCGGTGTGCTTCTGGGTCTGAGTCAACCAGCCCTCCCCTAGGGGAAGCTGGAGTGAGGGCCTGGCTCGCCCGCAAACCCCGGGGCGAAGGCAAAGTGCTACGGTTGTTCAACTGGCCGTGGAGACCCAGGCCCACACTCACCTCCTCTCTGCCTGTCCCCCGCAGGGCTCTCCCTACGACCACACACCCGGCATGGCGGGCTCCTTGGGGTACCACCCGTACGCTGCGCCCCTGGGCTCCTACCCGTATGGGGACCCTGCCTACCGGAAGAACGCCACCAGGGACGCCACGGCCACTCTCAAGGCCTGGCTCAATGAGCACCGCAAGAACCCCTACCCCACCAAGGGCGAGAAGATCATGCTGGCCATCATCACCAAGATGACCCTCACCCAGGTGTCCACCTGGTTCGCCAACGCGCGCCGTCGCCTAAAGAAGGAGAACAAGATGACGTGGACTCCGCGAAACCGCAGCGAGGACGAAGAGGAGGAGGAGAACATTGATCTGGAGAAGAATGACGAGGACGAGCCCCAGAAGCCCGAGGACAAGGGCGACCCCGAAGGCCCTGAAGCAGGTTGGTGGAAGAGGGAAAGGATTTGTGGAGCTGGAGTTAAGTGAATAGGGGGCCTGGAGGGGGCGCGCACGGGGCCTGGAGGTTTGGGGCCAGGGTCTCGGCCTTTGCAGGCGGGAACCGGGGCCCCGCCGCGTGGCCTCTGCGTTTCTGACAGCCTGGGTTTCGCCCACAGGAGCCGAGCAGAAGGCGACATCGGGCTGCGAACGGCTTCAGGGGCCGCCCACCCCCGCCGGCAAGGAGACCGAAGGCAGTCTCAGCGACTCGGATTTTAAGGAGCCGCCCTCCGAGGGCCGCCACGACTCGCTGCCCGGGCCCCCCCGCGCCGGCGGGCCCTCCCCAGCCGGGYCAGCGGCGGCGCGGCTAGCGGAGGACCCGGCTCCTCACTACCCCGCGGGTGCGCCGCCGCCCGGCTCGCACCCATCCGCCGGAGAGCTGCCCCCGGGTCCCGGCGGGCCCTCGGTGATCCACTCGCCACCACCGCCGCCGCCGCCAGCGGTGCTCGCCAAGCCCAAATTATGGTCTTTGGCAGAGATCGCCACCTCCTCGGACAAGGTCAAGGACGGGGGCGGCGGGAGCGACGGCTCTCCGTGCCCACCGTGCCCCGGGCCTGTAGCCGGGCAAACCCTGGGAGGCAGCCGCGCGTCGCCGGCCCCGGCGCCGTCGCGCTCGCCCTCCGCGCAGTGTCCTTTTCCCGGCGGGACGGTGCTGTCCCGGCCTCTCTACTACACCGCGCCCTTCTATCCCGGCTACACGAACTATGGCTCCTTCGGACACCTTCACGGCCACCCGGGGCCCGGGCCAGGTCCCACAACCGGTCCGGGCTCTCATTTCAATGGATTAAACCAGACGGTGTTGAACCGTGCGGACGCTTTGGCTAAAGACCCGAAAATGTTGCGGAGCCAGTCTC